ATACCGACCCCTCATGCTGCTACTAGCCAATAAGTCTCAGAGTCCTCTCATAGGGTCCCTGTACGGCCTCCCATTCTGCTGTCTCCATCGCCACATCTCTGCCATGTGCCACCACTTTCAGGTCTCCTCACACTCTGGTGTGTTGAATTTTTTGACATAGGGTGCTGGCAGATTACGGGCCTCCTATAGCTGCTGCCAGGCCCCTAATCTGCCATGGGGGCCCCTGTACCACCTCCTCATGCTGCTGCCAGGTCCACAGTGTCTCATGCCATGTGTACCCACTTTCAGGTCTCCTCACACTGCTGGTGTGTTCAATTTTTTGACATAGCGGTGCTGGCAGATTACGGGCCTCCCAGAGCTGCTGCCAGGCCCCTAAGTTGAATTTTTTGACATTGGGTGCTGGCAGATTACGGGCCTCCCATAGCTGCTGCCAGGCCCCTAATCTGCCATGGGCCCCTGTACCGCTTCCTCATGCTGCTGCCAGGTCCACAGTGTCTCATGCCATGTGCCACTTTCAGGTCTCCTCACACTGCTGGTGTGTTGAATTTTTTTGACATAGGGTGCTGGCAGATTACGGGCCTCCCATAGCTGCTGCCAGGCCCCTAATCTGCCATGGGCCCCTATACCGCCTCCTCATGCTGCTGCCAAGTCCAGAGTCTGTCATGGGTCCCTGTACGGCCTCCCATTGCTGCTGTCTCCATCGCCACACTCTGCCATGTGCCACTTTCAGGGCTCCTCACACTGCTGGTGTGTTGAATTTTTTGACATTGGGTGCTGGCAGATTACGGGCCTCCCATAGCTTCTGCCAGGCCCCTAATCTGCCATGGGCCCCTGTACCGCCTCCTCATGCTGCTGCCAGGTCCACAGTGTCTCATGCCATGTGCCACTTTCAGGTCTCCTCACACTGCTGGTGTGTTCAATTTTTTGACATAGGGTGCTGGCAGATTACGGGCCTCCTATAGCTGCTGCCAGGCCCCTAATCTGCCATGGGCCCCTATACCGCCTCCTCATGCTGCTGCCATGTCCAGAGTCTCTCATGGGTCCCTGTACGGCCTCCCATTGCTGCTGTCTCCATCGCCACACTCTGCCATGTGCCACTTTCAGGTCTCCTCACACACTGCTGGTGTGTTGAATTTTTTGACATAGGGTGCTGGCAGATTACGGACCTCCCATTGCTGCTGCCAGGCCCCTAATCTGCCATGGGCCCCTATATACCGCCTCTTCATGCTGCTGCCAGGTCCAGAGTCTCTCATGGGTACCTGTACGGCCTCCCATTGCTGCTGTCTCTATCGCCACACTCTGCCATGTGCCACTTTCAGGTCTCCTCACACTCCTGCTGGTTTCCATTTTGTCATAGGTTGCTGGCAGATTACAGGCCTCCCATAGGTGCTGCCAGGCCCCAAATCTGCCATGGGCCCCCGTACCGCCTCGTCACGCTGCTGCTGGGTCCACAGTGTGACATGGGTCCCTGTACCGCCTCCCATTGCTCCCACTCTGCCATGTGCCACTTTGAGGTCTCCTCACACTCCTGCTGGTTTCCATTTTGTCATAGGTTGCTGTATGGCCTCCCATTGCTGCTGCCTCCACCGCCACACTGTGGCTCCAAACACTGGTTTTGGCCCCGTGACTGGCCAAATGAGTGAAGTGTGCGGTGATTCTAAGATCGACGGCACTCATTTGCATGTCATACTGACTGACAGTATTATTTCTCTTCCCCAGCAGACTCCAAGGGCATTTAAATTAAAGGTTCAGTGTTCTGCACTAATATTAAGTCTCTCTGAAGCCTAGAAACACCCTTTTTTAAGTTAAATTCACAGCGAATATATTCGACTCGAATCGAATATTTTCCACGAATTCGCCGAATCAGTCGAATCGAATTTTTGAATACTTCGCTCATCTCTAGTGGCAACCATTAATTTTGCCAGCATTAAATCTGTAAGTGCTTGTAGTACAGCCTTATTTTTGCTCAGCAAGATTGGAGGTGATGTTTTGTTTTTGCAAGACACCCGGCTTAATTGCCTGACCGATTTACATCTGGCAAGAGAGTGGAGATGTGGCCCCTCTTTTTGGTCTCTTGTGGCTGAGCCTTACAGCGGAGTTGCGGTACTTTTTTCCTGCATGTCGGTGGTAACGTGTCGGTGGGTCCTTGAGGTGGAGATTGGAAGGTGTTTGGTCCTAGACGTCCTTGTGAAGGGGCAGGAATTATGTCTTATTAATATATACGGTCTCCAGTCTACGTTGGACAGGAAATGCCTTTTCACAAAGATTAAGCCTTTCCTTTTTACGTCCCGGCAGGTTGTCTTTGGAGGTGATTTTAACACCATCACTAGGCTCAAAGACCGGAAAGGCTCCACTGACAGGCTGGGATATGCCAGCGTTTTTTTAAATGCGATAGTCAGGGAAGCAGGTCTGGTGGATGCCTTGATTAAGTGTAGCCCGGACAGCACGGGGTTCACTTTTAGAAGAGGTAGATGTGAGAGTAGGATAGATAGGTTTTTTTTGAAAGGGGGACTCTGCTTTCTCTGCACCTGAGTGTCGGGCAGTGGAGTTTTACGACCACTTTTTATTGACTGTGGCTTTGAATGCCTCAGATACGCCGCTGAAGGGAAAGGGTGTCTGGAGAATGAGTTTGGCTCTGCTGGAGGACGAAGAAGTGAGACGATCCTTTGAGGATTTTCTTCAAGCACAGGAGACCATCCTGGATTTCTGCGGCAGTAAGTCGGAGTGGTGGGAGCTTACCAAAGTGCGGATCGACAGGTTTTTCAAGGCCCTAGGTAAGAAGAAACAACTTGAGAAATACATTGCCTATCAGCAGTTGCGGAGGAAGCTTGACCGCCTTGTCTCAGAGGGTGGAGATTCGGGGCAATCTCAGAGGTTAAGCTTCTCTTAAGGAAAATCAGTATGATTTGGTTCTGGAAAGGGATTATGGGAAATATCACTCGCCTGACCCTTACCAGAACTGCAAACAGAGCATAGCAGCCAAAACGATCAGTGGTCTGAAAAATAGTACGGGATCCGTGACAAAATCCAGGTCAGGAATCTTGGGGGTCTCGAGGGCTTTTTTTGAAGATCTTCTGAAGAAGAAGCACCTTGACCGGGCAGGGATGTCAAGCTTCCTGGATTCTACACCAGGGTTGGAGAATAACACTCCACCTACAAGTTTGACAGGTGAGATCACAGTTGAAGAGGTTGCCAAAGCGATAGACAGTTTGGCCATTAAAAAGACACCGGGGCCAGACGGCTTGACAGTGGAGTTTTTTAAGACCTTTAAATCTCGCTTGGCACCTCTCCTGGTGGAGGTTTTTAATTGCTGTCTTGAAGAGGGCTCACTCCCTCCCTCCATGAGGAAGTCCTCTGTGATTTTGCTGTAAAAGGGTAAGGATTCTATGATGATTGAGAATTGGTGCCCCATTAGTCTGCTCAACGTCGATAGAAAGATCTTGGCCAAGATCCTTTTCTGGCACTTGTTTTCAGTGGCAGATGGTCTACTTTAGCGGCAGCAGCACTGCTCGGTCCAGGGCAGGAGCACCTTTCTCAGCGGTGTTAGCTGTCTGGGAGGCTCTGGAGCGGTGCAGGGCTGATGGCTGTGGGAAGTACTTGCTGCGTTGGATCAAGCTAAGGCCTTTGATCGGGTTGACCACAAGTACCTCTGGCATCTCCTTTACAGCTATGGTCTGGAGGGGAGGTTCATTGGTTGGTTGCAGACTTTGTACAAGGGCTGAGAGCTTCATGTTGGTCAATGGTTGGGTTGGGCGGCCCTTTGAGGTCGGTTCGGGGGGGGTGCAGCAGGGATGTCTGCTGAGCCCTCTGCTCTATGCCTTTGCCATCGACCCCTTTATTAGGAGGCTCGATGGCAGGGTGTTGGGGCGGGGTGCCAGTGGGTGCAACTGGTGAGCCGCCTTTGAGGGTCGTGGCCTATGCTGATGATGTGTATGTTTTCATCTCTGGGGCCCAGTGAGGTGCAGAAGGTGGTCTCGGTGATGGAGCAGTATGCAGAAGCATCAGGCTCCAAGATCAATCAAGATAAATGTGAAGTTTTCTGGATGGGTAGGGAAGGTGAGGGCTTCGAGCTTCCGGAAGTCTTCCCAGAGCCCCGACAGAAGATCAAAGTGCTAGGCATCGAATTTGGCCCCGAGGATTATAGCAAAGGAAATTGGGAATCTAGGCAGTCAGATGCTGATGTTAAAGTGAGATGCTGGAAGGGGTGGCGTTTTTCCCTAAGGGAAAGGGTCGACCTAATTAAAACTTACTTGGTCCCCATTTTCTTGTACGTCAGTTTCGTCTGTCTCTTGCCAGAATCTCTCTATACGAGAGTCTACAGCTGTTTTTACCAGCTATTGTGGGGAAACAGGCTGAACCTTGTAAGGCGGGATGTAACATACCGATCCAGGCAGGAGGGTGGCCTAGGTTTGGTCAACCCAGTTGTTTTTTTCTCTGAGATTTTTATTAAACGTAATATTGGTAGCATGCTGAAAGTGGGACAGCCTGCATGGGTAGGTTTTTTCCAAGTCTGGTTCAGGCCTTTTCTGAACTGTTGGGAGAGAGGCAGGCCAGTGAGAAGCCTGAGGGTCAAGCACGGTAAGCCCCCGGCTTATGTCGCCCCATGTTTGAAGATACTTAGGCGGTGGTGTGTGACTGTGGAGAAGGGCCAGTCACTCCCTGGGAGGCTCCTGAGGGAGAGGGTCATTGCCTCGTCATTCCGTGCACCTCTGGCCTTGAAGGATTGCCCAGGCCATATTTTGCTGGAGGGTCTGAGATTGTTAAATATGGAAAGGATTCCCTTAAAGTTTAGGGACCAGGCCTGTCTTGCCGTTCTCTGGATAACCGTGGTTGTCCGAGGACGGAGTGTGGTGGAAAGTATGGACCACTTCTTGCTTCGATGTCCCTTCAATGTAGAGGTGTATAAAGAGGTGGGGAGGGCTCTGGACATCCCTTTCCTGCACTGCATGTCTTATGCAGAGTGGGTGTATGGGGCATTGCAAAGTCACTCTGGTTTTGATTTGAACACTCTGTTTCTAGTTTGTCTAGTGGTCCGTTACTACACCTGGAATGCACGGTGTCAGGTCTCCTTGCAGCAGAAGGTCCTTCCTGTTCAGGTGGTGGTGTGTGACATCCTTGGTGGGGTTGGGAAAATTCGGGGTCTTGAGAAAGATAGGCTGCGGGAAGGGTCTGGATAAAGACGTGGAGGAATATCAGGCCTGTAGCGCCAGTTTGTTGATCTCTTGGTGTGCTGTCCTGCTTTTCTCCTCTTTTTCACCCCTTAGATTTTCCTTGAAGGTTTCTTTTTGAGAATGGTCACGGATACCTGAAGGAATAGGTTTCTTAGCCTGACTGCTGCTGCTGAGGAGGGATGAGTTCCGACTCACCCTCCGCCGACAAACATTTTCCCTCTTGCTGGGACGTAACATCAATTACTTCCCCGACCTCACCCGAGGGCACTGACAGGTCTCCGATTGACTCCACCTTTCCAACCTGGCCCTCGCTACCGCTAACGATTTGTCACGGGCTTGTTTAAACCGATCCTCATTCAGAAACTTTTCCTGCATGAACCCGCTGGATGCTTTCAGGGCTTCCACCAACTCACTTTGCTGGCATACTGCCTGCTCCATGCCCTCGAGTTCCGGTCTCATAGACTTGGGGATCTCGTGTGGAGCAGGAGGAGACGGACGGTGCCATGGAGTTTGTGACAGCGCTGGAGTCCCCGCTGCACGGACGTCAGTTTGCATTCTCATCTGATGAGACCGGCGATGAGGCGGACAAGTGTCCGGGACCTTTAAAGTCAAAGAAGATGAAGAAATCTGGCTTTGTGAGGCTGGAGAAACTTCCCAGTGATCTGGAAAACTTTTGCAAATCACAGGTACTGGAGGGGAAAGTGGTACAGCCGCAGTCGGATGTCTCCCCCACTACAGGGACTGTAAGTAATGTTGGGCACACTGTTGTGGCTGCTTGTGATATGTGAGCAGCAAATACAAATGTGAGTGATATTGTTTCTCCAGGTGAAGCCATTCTGGTTGATGTAGTGCCTGCTGTGACCGGCACAACCCCAGTCTCAGTCCCAGCCCAAGCTGTCTCAACCCCAGCTATAGTCTCAGCCCCAGCTCCTGCTGTCAGGGGTGCCCTGAGTTATTCAGCAGCTTTGAGAAATAGGCAGGGGGTAGTAAGGCCATCTGAGGTCTTGGCAGGGGGGTCACCACCAACCATTAAGAGAAGGAATGTTGTTCAGCTAAAATGGGAAGGAGGGAGCCCCCCCTAATAGAAGGGAAGTTGTCGATAGGATCCTGGACATGGGCTTTAAAGTGGTTGACATCTTTGCCTTCATAGCCCCGGTGGGGACTGGGGAATATGATGTATCATATGTGAAACCAGAGTGTTTAGATATGTTTCTGGCAGAGATACGAGAGCGAGTGGAAGGGGACCCCTAGGTGCTAGGGCCTTACCTCAAAAGTCGTGTCAAGGCAGCCCCTTATCAAAGCCGTTGCGATTCTTGTCAGGAATGAATTGATCCCTCAGGCGGATATTTTAGTATGGCTAAAACGTTTTGGGGAGGTATTGGGCCCACTTAGAAAGATCCTGGACGACCGTGGGATCTGGA